GGCCCCTGTCCTATTTGAACCTTAATATGGTGAACCTTTGGTTGTAGGCCATCTATCTGTACACCCACAGATTTTCAGTTAAACATTAGGCTACACGTGAAATTAACAAGCCCATCTATAAACCGTATATGGCCTCATGAGGCCTAAAGGTAGATAAAGATGACTTTTACAGGAAAGCATCCCCCAAAACAGCTCATCCCACCATATCCCGCTCATGAAGCTACAAACGGTGCTAAACTGAAACACTGGAGGATATTACACACAAGATGGTCCGTTTCACAGATGGTTACACAAGTGCAACGATGCTGAACATCGTTTGTTGGCCTGCAGCAGGATGCATGTAGACGTGCTGTGTAGGATGAACATCGACTGATGACATGCGTGAACACAACAGCAGCAGCAGACAATCGTGTTATTGGTGCTTCAGCTTCTTTCTGTGTCTTTGCCGTTTGGGGGTGATTGTTGACCAGGTAGCAACATCCAGATGTGGCTAAAATCCGGCAGTAGCCGCATGGGGACTCCAGCTATTTTTAGCCACACAAACAGCTGAGGACAGGCACTATAGACGTCACATGCAAATAATTTTCACATCCTAGCACAGATTTGATCTGGATCTAACCTTGTGTGTTTTAAGTGAGCTGACTCTTTCACAGGAAATGTGTGGGCCTGGTCAGTAAGAATGTTCAGGTATATCAATTTAAGGTTATTCATCAAGTCTGCATTAATCACCAGAAGTCATTTGTAAAGGCTAATGGGTTTGTTCATTATTGATAAATTGACTTTTGTGAGGGCATCACCCCGTGGGCTGAACTCTGGGTGTCAGTCACAGTTTATTTAAGGATCTTTATTAATGGGTTATGAAATCCCCAAAGCCTTTAGTAATCTTAAAGTAAGCAAGTTTTGAAACACATTTTTAAAAATGTGTAAATGTCAAAAGCTCCCTCAGGCTTTGAAGCTCATCTGTGCAAATATTCATGTGCACATTTTGATCATCGTTGATATGCAGCCACCCAGAAGTCTAGGCTTGGTGTCTGTGTGTGTTTTTCTGGGTATTACGTCGCTTTGATGTTCAGTTTTAATAGTAGAGTGTGCGTAGTATTTTTTTTCCGGCCCTCGGTTGTGATTTTATGTATTAATTTTGGGTTACACACCATGCATGTATTCATTAAAACCTGACATCCTTTAAAGATGGGCCAAAAAACACCTTTCATGTTTGAGCAAACTTGTTCATGCTCACATCATCTTTGTTCTCATAAAGAATGTAAGACTGGTTTTCTGCAGGGTTTCTGCACACAACAACAGAACTAGATTTTTTTTTAGATTTTTAAAATGTTTCAAGCATTAATTTTTCACCTTTCTGAGCTATTTCGTTTCATCTATGTTGTTTTTTTTAAATAGAAATTTCCAAATTGTTAGGGTTAACAAAACATATTTCAATTGCATTTTATGCTTTATTAATCAGTTTTACATTTGTTCAGCATCAAGCCATCCACGACTGTACAAGTTCCATGTTGGCAGCATGTTACCACAGTTCCCAGAAGGAAGCAGCCTTTTGGGAACTGTGGTAAGAAGGTATTAAGCAATCTGGCCATTGCTTAATATCTTCATTTAACCTGTGCAGCTTGAGAAAAGAATTTTAGTGCAAGAGTAATTCTTAAACCTGTATTTTACTGTTAAATCAACTTTTCTAAGTAATGACTTTTGTTAAAGTGCAATAACTTTAAAAACAGTAATCGCATTAAAATTGCTAACTGAGTTTCTAGAGGCAGGACACGACAGCTACTGGGCAACAAAAAGCTAAATTAGAGAGTTTTACTGTAAACAGCTTTTGTTATTGTCAGTATTTTCAGTGTTTCTCCATCAAAAATGAAAAAACAAAAAAACAAAACACAGACACTCATCGTAAACTTTACGCCAGCAGCAAAATGCTTTCAGCCTCCGATGGCAGCAAAGCAGCAAAAATGTGAAGCTATGCTGAAAAACATTGATAATATAACATTATTACTTTATGAACCTCTAGTCATTTCTTCTTCTCTTCCTCTGTCAACCAGCTGATTGCTACGACTCTCTGAGCCTGGCTCTGCTGGAGGTCTCTTCTTGTTAAAGATGGAGTTCTTCCTCCCCACTCTCACAGCAGAGGTCATTGATCGCTGGGGTTCTCCCTCTAATATTATACAGGCTGTTGTTGTAAACAAAAAACAACTTATTACCTTCTTTAACATGTTACCTAAGGCCACTTATAACTGGGTTTATAGTGCAACCTTTCGATGCTTGTTCCACCTACACACTGCTGCAGACCTGCACTCTCCAACAGCAGCAGCCTCCTCCACCACAACAGCATCTTCTTCTATAGCACTTAGAAAAAAACTGCTCAGGAAAGATAAGCCAAGCTTATGGCCTGGTCTCCAAACTCCCGAATTCCTCCTCCAGGCCTCAGCGCAGGACATGAAATAGTCAGGAAAAAACAGTCATGGGCAGGAAGTATATGTCCATGTCTGCAGCATATGTTGTGTCCAGGCTCTTCAAAGGCAACGCATCACCCTAGCAACCAAGAAACAACTTGGCAACTATATTTTAACCCAAATTGCAACATATATAAGTAGCCAAGTAGCTTCTTATGATTGGAAATGCTTTTAAAAAAACACAACTGAAGTGAGGAAATCTAAATGACTTCCATCAGTTTCAGAATGTGGACTTTTTCACCCTTTAATAAAAGGAGAAAATACTGATTTTGAGCACATTGACAGAAAAGCAGCACACGTGCCAAGAGAAACTAAATAATAGAATAACAGTTGTGACTGTTTTAGAAACTGCTGTGAGACTGAGGTGGATTCTAATATGATGTTACTTTGGATCAAGCTCTGAGGCCTCAGCCATCAGGACCCACAGGATCTGCTGCCAACGTCCTGATGCCAGCCACCACAGGACAGAGGGTCAGAGCTGCTTTGGCAGCAACAAGGGGAGAAGGGGTCTGCATGTTATTAGTCCGGTGGATTGGTCTACGCCACAAGAACAAGAATATTGTTACTAATGACCTGATTTCTGATATTTTGACATGTCTAGCCAGGGTGGTAGTCCAGGGAAGGAAAATGAGCCTCAAACAAAAAACATACATTTTATGCAGACAAATGCAAAGTGACTATCAACAGAACAGGATTGAGTTAATATCAACTGAGACACAGTATCAGCAGGAAAACAAGCACAGAGTGAATTCTGCTGAATCGTGTTACCAGCACAAAAACGGCGTTACTCCAGAGGAGGACCACAGAGTGGAGACTGGCAGGAGCCTCAGGTAACCGACTTAAATGAGCAACACAGAAGAAAATGTTTTTTTAAAGGAGGCTGGGATCCAATGTACTCACTGTCTATTGGATCAAACTATTTATACTATGCTATTTCATAAGGAAAAATCACTGCAGTTGGAAACTGTGAGTCAGATTTACACCTGAACAGATTTTAATGGCAAATATCTTCATAAAAAGAAAGAAAGAAGAAAGAAATCTTCATAAATTCTACATTTTAAGGCTTTAAAATGAAAGTGGTCAAGGAATTACCGGTTTCATTAACCGCTTGAGATTACAGCTGTCAGATTTATAACCCTAAAGGACTTCAGTGGACACTAAATTCCCATTCACATTATATTTTATAACAGAAAAAGAAAACAGGCTGTAGAAGTTGCCAAATCATGTCTCTCTTCTTCTCTTTTACATTGTGCAGGGTACAATCCAATAACTAAAGTGCCGACTGCACTAAAAAGCTTTATTATGTGGTGTCGCCTAATGGTTTTTGTCCGTTGTGGTTGTGTTGCTGCATATTTGTTTGCTGCTTGTGCAGAATTATTAATGTTTCTCGGACCACCCGATTAAATGACTTATAAATAATTAATTACACCACTCCATTTGAGTTAATTATACCCCGGCAGAGCCTGCTTTTCACTGCATTTCTTTTGCATTTCAGCGCCTTTCTGGAAAAACCTCCAGCACATCCCAGTTTGCCCAGTTTATAACCCCTACAGCACATTTCTAAAGCACGACTGAAAGGAAATGAACCATTTCTGGACTTCGTGCTTGCTTTTGCACCATCTCAGATTTATAAATGTTTCTGGACACACATCTTAACCTGGCTGCCTTATGAAATTAAGTTAATGAATGAATGAATGAATGAATTAGAAGGGGCTGTGTCACGACCTGAGGTTATTCAAGTGTGAGGAGCTGTTAGTTTATAATTTATTTTTATCATCATTACAGTTCATTTCAGTTTTATATGCGAGTATAATTTCTGTTTAGGGGAAGTTTCAACCTTTATTTAAAAACTTTTATATGTATTAAAGAAAAACACGAGTGGGCTGGTTAAGGGGAGGAGGAGGTTTAGCTTCACCTGTAATCCAGGGAAAAGTGAAGTGAATATAACAGCAGGGGTTTTTATTACGACCCGGCTAAATGATTTCGAGAGCAAACCAAGCAGGAGATATTTCCCCCGCTGTCACGGGTGTGGGGATGTGTAGGCGATCGCGATTATAACAGCAATAATAATGATAATAATGATGATGACGATGGCCTCCTGTCGTTGCTTCATTTGCTGCCTTTATGTGCTGCAGTGTGGCTCGTTTATTAGCCTTATCTGTGTCCTGTGGTGACGTGAGGCCTGCAGGCGCTCACAGCCTGCAACATTTTCTTCAACACCTTCCAGTTTCTTCCATCCGAGCGGCTGCTTTCCTCTCCTTATCATGTCAGCGCACAAAACAGCCGCCGGGAGCTTCCTCAGTCAGCTTCCACCATCTGAGATGCGCCTTTCCCCCTTATCTCTCTCTCCCTCTGTGTGTCTGTCTTTCTCTTATGCTGATTATTATTGTCTTAATTAATCTCTGATATGCACTGTTATGTAACTATCCACCCCCCACTGCCCTCCTCCCCCCCTTCCATATAAAACACATGATTACATTTAACAAGCCGATCATCAGCATCGCCGCAAGGAGCCGCGCAGGAAGGAGAGGCTCTTACCTTGTGCAGCAGATCAGCGATCACTCCCCGGCTCATTTTAAGCCGTTTCGTTCCCATGAAAAATCTCCGCTGAGGCTGCTGGTCTCTGATTACCGGGACGCTGTTGCGAAGACCGAGTGAAGAGGAGCCACTAATTCCCCCTTTCCTCCATCCCCTATCCGTTTAAAAACCATCGGCCGTCAGCCTCCACCCCTCTCAGCTGGGAGAGAGACATAGGTGGGCAGTGAGGGAGAGAGAGGGAGAGAGCGAGAGAGGAAGAGGAAGGTTGAGCAAAAAGAGAGAAAGAGTAAGCAGAGAGAGGGGGAGGAGAAGGAGGGGGACTGGAAATATGGGAGGTGATACAATACAGTGCGGATACACAGTGCATGGAAACATCAGGAGAAATAAGCAATATATCAGTAAAACAATGCAAAGTAAATGCAGAAGCCTTTCTGACATCATTGTTAGACTCGTGAACGAGGTCGCTTTAAATTTCTCAGCAGTTCGTTTGCCAATAATTCAATAAACTTGAAAAAATAAAAGAGGCATCATTACAGGAGCTGCAGTATTTTGGTCAAATAAAAAGGACGTCATTATAGGACATAAGCTATACCATACATACACTTGGCCACTTTATTAGCTGGACCTTGCTGGTACCGGGTTGGATTCCCTTTTGTCTCCAGAATTGCTTAAATTCTTCTCAGCTTACATTCAACGAGACGCTGGAAGAAGAGAGATTTTGGTCCATGTTGACATGATAGCATCACGCAGTTACTGCACAACAATGATATCAATCTTATGTTCCACCACATCCCAAAGACGGTCTATTGGATTGAGACCTGATGACTGTGGAGGTCGTTTGAGTGCAGCGAATTCACTGTCATGTTGAAGGAACCAGTTTAAGGTGACATGGCACGTTATCCTGCTGAAAGCAGCAATCAGAAGATGCTACACTGAAGCCACAAAGGGATGAACAGGGTCAGCAACAATATTTAGGTGGGCCAAGGAGCGCCAGTAAAATATCCCAACACCATTATATCGCCAACAGCCTGAAACACTGATACAAGGCCAGATGGATCCATGTTCTCATGTTGGTTATGCCAAATTCTGGCATTTCATCCTAGCTGCTTACATAGATACTTACCCTACATGTGAATATCACAGCAGAAATCAAGATTCATCAGACCAGGCAACTTTTTTCCAGTCTTCTATCGTCGAATGCTGGAAACCCGTGTGAATTGCTGGGCTATATCATAAATAAATGCTCAGTTTGAGGCAACAAGGACTAACAATCCTCTATATATTAAATGAACATATAGTAAGAGGAAAAATGTAAATATATTTTGCTAGCATGTTGATTTTGTTATTTTTACACTCAGGATGTATGCCTCGGTGCTCTCCATGGTGCTGAACCTGGATCCTCCGGGTCTCCACTCGCATTGCTGGAAAAATCCAGGCAATAACTCACCATTGCTGGCAGGATTGAGCTGACTTGCTGAAGTAGCATCCAGTAGTTTAAGGCGCTTGCCCTCATTCCACTCATCCTGGACATCAATGTCGTGGTAATTTTGGGCTGTTAATGATTTCTGCAGCATAAAAAGGATTTGTTTGACATCACTGGACTGACAAATACTCAGATTAATGAGAAAGTCCAAGGAACTCTGAAGATCTAAGAAGCATAATTGAAGTTATAATTATATAAATTTACCTGTATATACCTATATATTTGACATGTCACCATATTGCCAAGGTCTGGAAAAAGACCAAAACTGTCACTGTCCACTGTGATGGACTGAGAGGCCAAGCCAAATGCCTTCTGCAGAAAAGTTTTATGGTCACTCAGATGAGACAAAGACTGAGCTATTTGGTTACAGTGACAAGAGGTACGTTTGGAGGAGAGGTGAGGCTTTCAAACATAAGAACACTGTACAAACTGTCAAGCATGGTGGTGTAAACTTCTGAACACAGCTGTGTAAGAACATTAAAAATGTTATTCACTCTTTTATAAATACAATATTTATTCCTACAAATCTTCACCACAGAATGGTCAATAAAACAGGAACAAAGTTGTGGATGCACTTAACAGTTTTAATTTTACCATAAATAATAAAAATGACACATTAGTCTTTCACAATACAAACAAACTGAAGTCGACAATATAGAACCAGAGCTTCCTGGAAGCTAACAGAAACAGATAAGAAACCATTTAAAACACTATAAACAAACACAATGTTGTAAAAACAAAGTTACAAGTAGTGCTCCAGGAAATAATGTAGCATCGCTCCTGCATAATCAATAAAATAAGCATGTTTGCATTTCTTAGTAAGGATAACTGAAGTGAGGTGACACTGAGGTGAAACTTGGAGATGTCTTTGTTAAACTTTCAAGGTGCTCTGACTTTATAAAGTACAGCAGTGTTAAAAGAGGTGGAAAAATAACAACTGAGGTTGTTAACAAATATTTCTGAATTCTAGACAGCTTCACATCTGCTGCATAAACTACAAATATTCATTAGTGTGCAATAAAACAAACTCCTTCAACCCACACTGTGAATGGTAATATGGATACAGCCCCAGCTTCCTTATAGCTTTAAAAACTTGCAGCTTAATGAAAATATACTCTGTCTAGATTACACCTGAAGCAAGTTAGTCTTAAAATATACACATCTGACTTCAGTTTAATCACAATATACAATATCCACTATAAGGGCATGTGTTCAAATGATGGCTCTGGAAATGTGGTGGGTCATGAACCCTGACACAGGTCAGACCAAAGCTACAGTCAGACTGATAAATCAGGAAATGAATTAATGCATAAACATACATAATGGTACGGTTAGAGCTGGCCTTTAAAGTCGATCTGTGGTTACATCACAGACGTCTTACTGACTTCTTACAGCTTGTCTGCTTAACCACAGCACTGCTGGTGGCTCGGACACAAAGTCATCATAGATATACACCAACAACCTTCAAACTTAAATCACACACTTAGAGTCGAGATTATCAGATTTAAAATGGGGCTGATTTTCTATAAAACCATGGCATTCCTGACCTTCTTTAACTCCTCTGTACATGGTGGATAAAGTCAGCTAATGATTCAAGAAATCTCTGCATGTCCTCAACTGTTTTTAAACTTGGCGGGTAAATTTCTGTGGACCTGAGTAAGTACAGTGCTGAGTTTCAGCTGAGCTAAAATCACGCAGCAACCTTTAGAGCTGAAAAATGAACCAAAAATATTAAGTGGAAAAAAACTGTAGTTCCTCAAGTGGCCACTTGAGGCTGCCTCCAAAAGGCAAAAAGTTCCCATAGACTCCCATTATAAAATACCCACTTTCACAGCATTAATATGTTTACAGGTTGGCACTAACTGTGGATATTTCCCTCCTTCATATCAACTGTACAGGGCGTGGCTTGACCTTCACTAAGTGTATTCACTGAACTCGACCTCTTAAAGGTCTTTGTGTTGTTCTAGAGGCTTTTGGAGCATTTTTAATAGAATTAAATAATCTCTGCTAATCCAAGACCGCGTCTGGGTTTTAGATTTGGTGAGTGAAATTCTGCTATCTTTTAGGTCGTCCACACAGGAAACAGTTTCCTCACCGTCTATCGCTTTGTAGCTGATGGGTGATAACAAGGCTTCAGATGCTCCCTGTCACAACTAAATCAATCTTATCCCTCGCTCTCATTGAATGTCAGTGACTTTCTACATTCTTATCCTGTGGGGACGCACCTTAATCGAGTGATATATGTGTCCTAGAAATATAACTACAGGTCGCACAGATGCAGACTACTGTAATTGGCGCCTTAACTACCAGCATTTCATCCTACGTTTTTTCCCCAACGTCTTCTTCTGTTGTAAGAGAGAAACTTCATCCCCATACAGTTTTTGGAAGCAAGGCTGCAGAGAACGCGAGGGGCACCGTGCACAAGTAAAACTGTTGGTGGCATAATTGGGAAAGTGGTGACAGGCTGCCCTCACATGGATGCAGCTGTCGCTGAGGAAGCACTGACAGGTCTGTGCTGGAGTGCAGATAGGTGATCACACTATATGCATAATGTGCCCGAGTGCAATGATGGCTCACTTACTCGCACCTTGGCACAGCACGCAGCAAACAAACTGGACTCACCCTCACCTGGTGTGAGTACAACAGGTGTACTTGTGACTTCATTGGCTGATGTTTCCTAAAACTGTAAGTCTAACAGACAATGCCGCAAGCCATGTGGATTAAATATGAAGCGATCAGCGGTTTACATCAGAAGCAGCCGTACTTTCAAATTGATCCATGTTAGGAAACAATGCTTTTTTTCCTTCGGAATCCACCTGCTCGCATGCTACATGTGCACAGCTGATCGTGAAGCACTACTGTTTCTATTTTTCTATGTTTAATACATAATTGTACATATTGGTCTCAGAGTTCCTGCATGACTTAAATGTGCTCCTTTTTAAAGGTAGGTTGATTACTTTAGTCATTTAAAGTGAAGTGAATCTTTCCATCAGGAAATTTATATCCATCCATCCGCATGTGTCTAACAGAGTAGATATGCTTCAGCTACACAGGTTGCCTTTCACCCATGCCATTTGTGCATGATGTGCATTTCCTTCATCATTTGTTAATAACTCTGAGTATACATGCAATAAACAATAGGTATGATGTATGTGGCCAAAACATTTCCTGCTTTGACATTTAATTAAATACATTAACTCCAAAAATGACCAAAGTGCAGGTTGGTGCTACGATGGTCAGTGCTGCCACCTGAGAGCAACCTCACGGGGCCTTTTGTGTGACATCTTCATAGGTGTTCCAGTTTCCTGCCACAGTTGAAAGACAAGCTTGTTAACTTAGCTGGTGATTCTAAATTTGCTGTAAGTGTAAATGTGAGCATAAGTCTCTGTTTTATCCCTCTGATCCACTGACTGCCTGTCCAAAGGTACCCCGTCTCTCACTCAATGTTAATGCTGAGACCCTCGGGTGGGTTTCTCAGAGTAAAGCTACTACTCTACATCAAAAGGAGCCAGCTGAGATGGTTCCAGCATTTCACTAGCGCCTCCCAGGTGAGGTGTTTGGGCATGTCCAACAGGCTGGAGGCCCCGGGTCAGACCCAGGACAAATGGAAGAGATTATGTCTCTCGGGTAGTTTGGAAAAATCTGTGTCCCCCCAGGAAGCGCTGGAGGAGGTGGCTGGGAGAGAGGTAGGTCTGGGGATGTCTGCTTAGACTGCTAGAAACAGCCTAATTTAATTTGTGGATAGTAACC